TCTCCCGCCTGCCAGGCGCCTGCAAGCTGTGCACCCACCCTGCACCCACCCTGCCCTCCCAGGGCCAGCGTCCCGGACAGAAGGGAAGCGGGGAGAGGGGCGAGGAGCTGGTCTGGATGAGGGGCTGAGCGAGGTCTCTGTGGAGGGACAGTGGGAAGTGAGGGAGGAAGTGGGGGAAGAGGGGCCGTGCAGAGGTCCTGGGGCAGGCACAGGCCTGGCAGGGAACGGGCTGGGGCGGGCACCGAGAGGGCCGTGTGGCTGCACCGAGTGGCCCAGGTGCCGGGAGGTGGGCAGCAGAGGGGGGCAGGGCTGTTAGTTGGGGGAGCCGGGCACCTAATGACAACAGAAGAGCCGTCTCCACGGCACTGAGACGTGGCTTCTACCCACTCTCCCCAGGTCAGGAGCTCCGCCCACAGCAGCACCCCCACCGCGGAGGGGCCCCCGCAAACCACCAGCCCGCCACTGAGATCCACACACGCGGCACCAGCTGGGCAGGTGGTGGGGCGGGGACGCTGCATTATTGATCGGGGACAGAGAGCCACCTGGCGGGCGTGCCCGCCCCTCCCTCTGCCAGCCCACAGGAGGCTCGGCAAGGCTGGCGAGGCGAGGGGAGCGGGCGGCCGATCAGGAGCCCCCGACCCAGGCTCCCGCCCAGGACCTGTCCTCCGCCCACAGCTCCCGCCTGGCTGGCGGCCGGGACCAGAGGCTGAAGTTTCACTGGGTGCCCTTGGACCAGGCCCCCGGCCCCCCGGCCCTCTGGTCCCGCAGGCGTCCGGCTGCTGCAGCCACAGGTAAGCCCCGGGGCCGAGCATGGCCTGGGTCCTGGGGTGTCCCCAGGGCTGCCAGCCGGGGGCTCGGGGTGAACACCGGGCTCCGGAGGGCGGGGGAGGGGAGTGGGGGACCCACAGACCTGGGCTGTTGCTAAGTGCTCTCCTGCCTCGTGGGGATTGGCTGAGGGGGTGAGGCTGCCTCCTGGTTGGGGAGCCCCCGGGGGGGGAGGGGGGGAGGGGGGAAGGGCAGAAAAGCTGTGGGCCCTGTCCTCCCTCCTGTGCCGCTGGGGGTGGGGTGGCTGGGGCAAGGCCTACCCATTTGCCCCCAGGGCCGTGCCCAGGCCCCGCTGGGGAGCCCCGCCTGGGCCCTGGCAGGGCCATTGGCTCAGGTGTCGGGGGGCTCAGACTCTCCCGGCCGAGGCGGGGTCTACAGGCAGGGACCTCGCCCAGCGCCCCCTCCTGGCTCCGGGATCAGACGGGACCTGGGCAGCACTTAGGCCTGTGAGGGTGGGCACCTGCCCCTAAAGCCGTGGTCGCCCTGGGAACCTCCCACAATGCACCTGTCCTGAAAGGTTGGCTGGGCCCGGCCGTGCAGAGGGCAAGCGCTCCTCATGGCCCCGCCAACGCCGGGGGCCCCAGGACTAACACAGCCTGGATCCGGCCTCGCCCCGGGCTGTGCCCTCCCCGCTGTCGTGGCCGTGCATCCGGACGGCCCCCCCTTCTTCCCAGCGCGAAGGGGGTGCCCTGGGTCGCCTGCACCTGCCAGCACTGCGGGTGACGTGCAGACCCGGCTCCTCGGCCGGTGCCCGGGGCACGGGGCTCGGGCAAAAACTCTGGGGACCCATCAGGGCTAATGTGACCGTGAACGTGGGGCAGCCCCCCGCCTCCTGGCCCCGGGCCGCCTCGCCTGGTGGCAGCCCGCTCCATCACGGCTCTGCCTAATTAGGGTAATTAAGGGGAGGCCTCAGAGCAGCGGGAGACCTAACTGCCGCGTCCCTGCCCGGCTGTGTCGTGTGCAGGTCAAGGAGCTGGCAGAGCCGGCCGGACAGGAGGACCAGGCCCTGCTGCCCCAGCTGCCCACCCGCCCGCCGAGGCCTCGCCCAGACTCCCAACAGGCCCAATCCCCAGAGCCCAGACCCTGGGAGGAAGCCGGAGACGCAGTACCCCCCTCTGTGCCCACCGCCCTGCCTGGCAGCACCCGCGCCCCCAGGTGGGCACCCAGCTGGCTTCCTGGGCCCTGCCAGGGACCTGGGCTTTGCCTGGCATCTGGGCCCCAAACAGCACCCTCTCCAGGGACCTGCCATCCCCTGCCCCCTCCCAGGGCCTCAGCCTGCCCGTGGGCTGCTGGAATGAGGGGTGGGGGCGGGGCTCCTAATGCATCACCGATGAAGGGGGGCAGAAAGGGCCAGCTGTTCCAGGGGTGCAGGGGCCAAGGCGCCCCCACCTCCCGGGAGCTCTGTCCTCAGCTGCAGGGACTGAGGCTGAGGGGGCCCTAACGTGTGGTCAGCTCCCCCCCGAGTCCAGTGGCCCCGCACGGAGCCTGCCCTTCAGGGTGCCCCTCCTCTCCTCCCCCCCTTGGGCACGGACCCCCCACATCCCCCCCTCCCGTGCTGGGCTGGGCAGCGGTCCCACAGGCCGGGGGCGGGGGGGGCGGGGCCGGAGGGGCAGAGCTGAGCGGGCGGAGAGTGTTGACACTCTCCCGGGAAACGCACGCACCCAGCCTCTGGCCCTCCCTCCGGCTCTCCTGCTTGGGCTCAGCTCGCCCTCCGGCTCTCCCTCCGGCTCTGCCTCCGGCTCTCCCTCCGGCTCTGCCTCCGGCTCTCCCTCCGGCTCTCCCTCCGGCTCTCCCTCCGGCTCTCCCTGGGGCTCTCCCTCCGGCTCTCCTGCTTGGGCTCGGCTCGCCCTCCGGCTCTCCCTGGGGCTCTGCCTCCGGCTCTCCCTCCGGCTCTCCCTCCGGCTCTGCCTCCGGCTCTCCCTCCGGCTCTCCTTCCGGCTCTCCCTGGGGCTCTCCCTCGGGCTCTGCCTCTGGCTCTCCCTCCGGCTCGCCCTCCGGCTCGCCCTCCAGCTCTCCCTCCGGCTCTGCCTCCGGCTCTCCCTCCAGCTCTCCCTCCGGCTCTCCCTCCGGCTCTCCTGCTCGGGCTCAGCTGGGGCTCAGCGGAGGTGGGGCGCCGGGGAGCCCAGCCCGTAGACCCTCCCAGGAGCCCAGCACCCACTCCAGGGAACGCGCCTCTCCCTCCCCTGCTCCCGCACAGCCTCTGAGCACCAGCAAGTGTGACCGTGTGCACACGTGTGAGTAGGTGTGTGTGAGCGTGTGTGAGCCTGTGTGTGCATGCCTAGGTATGTGTGTGTGTGTGCCCAGGTGGGTGTGTGTGAGCCTGTGTGTGTATGCCCAGGTGAGTGCATGTGCATGCCCAGGTGTGTGTGTGCGCAGGTGGGTGCATGTGCATGCCCTGGTGGGTGTATGCATGCACAGGTGGGTGTGTTTGCCCAGGTGGGTGGGTGTGAGCCTGTGTGTGTGTGCCCAGGTGTGTGTATGTGTGTGCGTGTGCATGCCCAGGTGGGTGCATGTGCATGCCCAGGAGGGTGTGTTTGCCCAGGTGGGGGTATGTGAGCCTGTGTGTGTATGCCCAGGTGTGTGTGGGTGTGCGTGTGTGTGCGCAGGTGGGTGTGTGTGCACAGGTGTGTGTGTGTGCACAGATGGGTGTGTTTGCCCAGGTGGGTGTGTGTGAGCCTGTGTGTGTGTGCCCAGGTGTGTGTATGTGTGTGCGTGTGCATGCCCAGGTGGGTGTGTGTGCATGCCCAGGAGGGTGTGTGTGCACAGATGGGTGTGTGTGCGCGCCCGGGTCTCCAGGGCTTGCACGTGCCTGTGGGTGTCGGGGCATTTTGGGGGCGGGGCTTGTCTGCAGGCCCCTGGGGAGCCGGAGAGAGAGGCTGAGCAGCTACTACTTCAGGGGAAGTTGGGGAGAGGAGAGGGGTCTGGGGGGCTGGTCCCTAAACCCACCACACAACTGACCCCCTGGCCCCGGGCCAGTGGCTCCCCAGCGCCACCCAAGGGCCAGGCAGGCGCCCCTTGGCAGCCCGGAACCCCCCCCCCCCGCGGGTGGAGCCGGTGTGGGAGCAGCCAGAGTGCGGCCTGAGGTGGGGTGGGCCTGTTGAGTCTCAGCGCTGAGGAGCTGGGGGCGCCGGTATGACTGGATTGAGGGGTCCGCCTCTGTGAGGACGGAGGGGCAGGCGGTGGAGCGAAGGCTCGGGGTCCCTGACCCCTCAGGCCACCCAGCCTCTCCCCGCTGGGCGCTCAGGGGCACCATCCACAGCCCGGCCATGGCTGGACAGGGCCAGTCCCGCCTGCAGAGGAGGAAGCTGGAGCCCAGACAGCAAATCCTGGAGACTACCCGCAGGCCAACCCCCTAACAGCCCACTCACCCGCTCTGCTCAGGGCCCAGCACCCACACAGGGCTCAGGGGGATGAGCGGGCGGCTGATCTAGAACAGGCCTGGGGGCACAGGGCGGGGGGCACAGGCCTGGGGGCACAGGGCTGGGGGCACAGGGTGGGGGGGCACAGGCCTGGGGGCACAGGGCGGGGGGCACAGGCCTGGGGGCACAGGGCCGGGGGCACAGGGCCGGGGGCACAGGCCTGGGGGCACAGGGCGGGGGGGCACAGGCCTGGGGGCACAGGCCTGAGGGCATAGGGCGGGGGGGCACAGGCCTGGGGGCACAGGCCTGGGGGCACAGGCCTGGGGGCACAGGGCCGGGGGCACAGGGTGGGGGGGCACAGGCCTGAGGGCACAGGGCCGTGGGGGGGCACAGGCCTGGGGGCACAGGGCGGGGGGGCACAGGGCCGGGGGCACAGGCCTGAGGGCATAGGGCTCGGGGCACAGGGCCGGGGGGGGGCACAGGCCTGGGGGTACAATCCTGGGGGCACAGGCCCGGGGATACGGGGCTGAGGGGCACAGTCCCGGGAGCACAGGGTGGGGGGGCACAGGCCTGGGGGCACAGGGCGGGGGGGCACAGGCCTGGGGGCACAGGGCGGGGGGGCACAGGCCCGGGGGCACAGGGCCGGGGGGCACAGGGCTCGGGGCACAGGGCCGTGGGGGGGCACAGGCCTGGGGGCACAGGGTGGGGGGGCACAGGGCCGGGGGGCACAGTCCCGGGGGCACAGGGCCGGGGGGCACCGGCAAACGGGCTGACCGCTGGGAGCACTGACCACACCCCATCCCATCACAGGTGCCTGAGGACTGGACATGGCCTGGCAGGGAGCACGGAGGTGATGGCAGCCCAGGAGCTGGTGGCCTGCCTCTGCCGGGAGGGGGACCAGCACCTGGCCCTGGGGGAGCCCCCGCTGGCCACCGCCTTCTACCTGGCCGCCTTCAGCTGCCACGCCCCCTCCGCGGTGAGGCACGTCCGGGCGGCCCTGGCCGAGGCCCGGGGCGCCCCCGTGCTGGCCACGCTGGAGGCCTGGTGCCGGGGAGAGAGCCAGATCCCCGCCATCCACTGGGACGGCATGGCCGTGGTGTCGCTGACCGGCACGCTGGCCTGCGCCTTCCTGGCCACGCTGTGCCCGGACCACCCGGCCGCGGTGCTGCACGCGCTGGCCGGCCTGCTGGCCCGCGGGCGCCACGGCGAGGTGGTGCGGCGCTGCGGCACCCTGCTGGCCGCCCACTCCCGGCAGGGGCTGGCGCTGCGGCTGACCCGCGCCCTGGCCCGCATCCTGTCGGGGGCGCAGGTGGACGCCGGCCTGGCCGACTACCTGCAGGCCTTCGCCGCCGCGGCCGACCGCACTGTGGCCTTCGTCCTCACCCACCAGCGGCCCTACCTGCCCGTGCTGGTCAGCGCCCTCCAGGCCCACCTCGCAGGGCGGGAGCAGGCCAGGGGCGGCGGCGGCCAGCAGGAGGGCACGGACACCGGCCAGCAGGAGGCCGACGGCTGGAGGCTCCTGGCCGCCCTGGACCCCGGGGGCACCTGGAGCGACGCCCTCTCCCCCGACGCTCTGCTCCGCGGCGGCCGCTACGAGGACTGCCGTGCCGCCTGCAGCCGGGCCCTGGAGGCCGACCCCGCCGGCAGCAGCTCCCGAGGTAGGCGTGCGGGCACGGCCCCGGAGGGTCAGGGTGACGGTCACGGCGGGGTGCTGGGGGAGGGGTTGTGCTGAGGCCGGGACACCCCAGTGACATGCGGGCAGGCCCCTGCCCGCACGGAGTGCCAGGAAAAGGACGGAACAGAACCAGCGCTTTGAGAAATGAAACATGCCCGGGCGCCTCTGGCGGGGTGGTCAGGGAGGGCTTCTGGGAGGAGGTGTCCTTTCCACGGCCACCAGGACTCCAGGTCACTGAGGACGAAGGAGCGTGGGTGTTCCTGCCCCTGAGCAGAGCTAGGGTGGCTTGGGGGGCTGGGGGGCAGAGGGGGAGCAGAGGCCCTGAAGGCCGTAGCCGTGGCCACGCCCTCTCGGCCACAAAAACCTTCAGATCTGACCCTCAAGTCAGGAGAGCCACGGGAGGGCTTTGCACTGGGCAGTGAGATGCTCTTGGTTACACTTGTCACGTCTCCTATGGCTGCTGCATGCGAACCTGCCAGGGGAGCTGGAGTGAGAGCTGAACCTGGGAAACCCAGGGGTGGTCCAACTGGGTGGTGAGGGGCTCCAGGCTGGGTGGTAAGGGGCTCCAGGCTGGGGGGGGGGGCTCCAGGCTGGGGGTGGGGGGCTCCAGGCTGGGGGGGAGGGGCTCCAGGCGGGGGGGGGGGGGGCTCCAGGCTGGGGGGGAGGGGCTCCAGGCTGGGGGTGGGGGGCTCCAGGCTGGGGGGGAGGGGCTCCAGGCTGGGGGTGGGGGGCTCCAGGCTGGGGGTGGGGGGCTCCAGGCTGGGGGGGAGGGGCTCCAGGCTGGGGGGTGGGGGGCTCCAGGCTGGGGGGGAGGGGCTCCAGGCTGGGGGTGGGGGGCTCCAGGCTGGGGGGGAGGGGCTCCAGGCTGGGGGGAGGGGCTCCAGGCTGGGGGGTGGGGGCTCCAGGCTGGGGGTGGGAGGCTCCAGGCTGGGGGGTGGGGGCTCCAGGCTGGGGGGGAGGGGCTCCAGGCTGGGGGGTGGTCCAGGCCTGGGGGGGGTCCAGGCGGCTGGGAGTGGTCCAGGCTGGGGGGAGGTCCAGGCCTTGGAGGGGCCCAGGCAGCGAGGAGTGATCCGGGCTGGGCGGGGCAGGGAGTCTAGGCCGTGGGGGGGTCCAGGCCGGGGGGGGGGGGGGGTCAGGGCAGGAGGTGGTCAGCAAACGTCCTGCAGACCTGGAACACACCTCTGCCTTTGGGAAGAGCTCTGTCCTTACGAAGTGGACACACAGGACGAGATGCAGAGAAAGAGCTGCTTTACCCCCGATCCCCTGCCCTGCGCCCTTGTTCCCTGAGCCTCAGCCAGCTCCGTGTGCCCACGGTTTCTGAGAACTGACAGAAAGGTAGCATCCACCAGAACCTCCCGGAAACCCATGCTCAGTGTGATGTTCGGAAGCCTTCCATTCAGAGGAAGGACGAGGCGGCTGCTCACACTGCCGTGTGTCCATCATTGCACTAGAGATCCTCGCCAAAGCAACAAGACAAGAAGGGAGAAACACGTGTGGGGCAGGAAGGAAGGAATGATGTGACCGTTATTCCACACAATGTCCTTAGCTACGCAGAGGCTCCAAAAGAAACAAGAATGTATTAAATGTAGGAGTAGAATTTATCAGGATATACAAAAAGCATTTATAGTTATAGACACCAGCAAGAAATAGAAACTTTGTGGTTTAAACATAGCCCTAGTTGGTTTGGTTCAGTGGGTAGAGCGTCAGCATGCAGACTGAAGGGTCCCAGGTTGGATTCCGGTCAAGGGCACGTGGCCAGATTGTGGGCTTGATCCGGTGTGGGGCATGCAAGAGGCAGCCAATCAATGGTTCTGTCTCATCATTGCTGTTTCTATCTCTCTCTCCCTCTTTGAAATCAATAAAAACATATTTTTTTAAAAAAGGAATGACACATTTAAAAAAAAAAACATATAAAACTTACTATAGCAACAGAAAGTAATTTACTTCAGAGTCATATGACCTTATGAAGAAAATCATAAAACTTTATTAAAAGATCATAAAGAGCAATGATATGAGTAGGGAAATGTTAGAAAGATTTGATAATATAATATTTTATATTACATTATATATAATTATATTTTATTATCATAATATATAATTATACTATATATAAAATTATATTTTCTATTGCTAGAAAGATTTGGTAATATAATAGAAGAGTAGAGGAGCAATAATAGACAAGACGAAGGAAAAGGGGAGAAAGGGGAGGGGAGGAGGGGAGAGAAGCGGCGGGGATGGAGAAGAAGATGGTGGTGAAGGACTTTCTCTGCCAGTTAATGCAAAATTATACTAATGACACAGAAGGCTGTTGACTCGAGGAACAGAGAGAAATGACAAGGACTGGGCCAGAAATGGAGCAGATGTTTCTGGAACTAACACGTGAGCGTGAGCACCACAGACCCACGGCCCCAGAGAAGAGCATCGTCCGCAGCCCTGCAGCAAAGCCATGTCCCGAGACCACGCCCACCGCCGAGGTTCGGCCGTGGAGGCACAGGAGGCTGCTGTCACTGAGCCTTCTGTGAACATCTGGCTCCTCACGACACCAAAGAGGGAGCCGTAAAGGGAAACGGGGTACCTCTGACAAAACTAAAAGTTTTAAACTTCTGTTTTGCCTCCAGCTGTCGAAAGCGAAGGGACAAGCCACAACAGAGAGAGCGTGTTTGCAGAATGCCCCACAGGCGAAAAATAATAAATACCCAGAGCTCAGAGGAGCTGCTGCTCGTCGATAAGAAGATGTGAATCTGCTGCTAGAGCTTCTCCGCAGACAGGACGCAGATGGCTAACGGACACGTGGGGAGCTCGCAGTGAGGAGCGCGAGGGAAAACGAGGCACCGCGTCCTACCGCCAGCGGGAGAGAGTGTTTAAATAAATGGGCCTCGCTGGTCATCGGAAAATGGACATTAAACCCGCAGTGCGGCAGCCTCTGACACCCCTCAGATCGCCCGGACGGGTGGGTTTTTGCCTGAGGAAATTCCTCAATCCAGGTGTTTGTTTGTTTTTAAAATATCTATTTTTTTTTTTATTGATTTCAGAGGGAGAAGGAGAGAGAGAGATAGAAACATCAATGATGAGAGAGAATCATCGATTGGCTGCCTCCTGCACGCCCTTCCCCCCCTCCCCCCCTTCCCTCTGCCACTAGGAATCAAACCTCGCAGCCCTGGGCATATGCCCTTGACCGGAACCGAACCCAAGACCCTTCAGTCCCCATGCCGATGCTCTATCCACTGAACCACACCAGCCAGGGCTCAATCCAGGTTTTATCCCCATGAAACAGAAGGCGGGGGTTTCACTGGCTGGCGATGTCACAGGTCAGAGTTCAGGATGAAAAAAACGAGTGGCTGGACAGTTAGAAGGAAGTCCTGAAGCGGAGGAAGCCACAGAGGGGGTAAGACCTGGGGGGGGGGGGGGTCCACTTTGAATCTGGGTATCAAACCCACGGAACTCCTGGGCTGACTTAACTGCACGTGCAGGGGAGAGGCTGGTGGTGGAAGAGGCAGCAGCTGGAAACGGTAAGAACATGATGGAGATTCCAGACAGACAGAACACGGGCTTGACTCCCTCCAATGTAACTGCCTGCTCGAACCAACGTGTTTTCTCTTCAGAGGAGCATAACTGATCCCAGTCTCTACAGAGCGTCAGTCAGATGTCTGGTGTGCAATTAAAGATTGCTGGGCATCAAAGAAACCGGAAAATAACACGTGAGCCACAGGCGGGAGGGAAAGAAGTCACTAGAAACCGGCCTTGAGAGGTCAAGACAGGTGCTGACGTTAGCCTGCAGAGGACGTTAAAGGAACTACCAGTCGTACACTGAAGGACTAAAGGAAAATGTAGTCGTAATGAATGAGCAGATGTGGAATCTCAGCGAGTGAATGGAAACTATTGAATGTTCTAGAACTGAAAAGCACAGAAACAGAAATGGAAAATGCATGGCATATTGGAACGACAGAAGAGTCAGTGAGTGAGCTTAAACTTGGAAGAGAAATTATCCAATATGACCCACACAGGGAAAATGTACGGAGCCTCAGTGCCCAGCGGGGCGACGTACAGAAGCCTCGTGTGTGTGACTGGAGTCTCAGAAGCAGAGGAGAGAACACACTTCCATGTGGGTAAAGAAATGATCGTCCCATGGGCTCTGCACCTGCTACAGCCACTCGATCCATGATGTTGTGCACATCGGCGATCAGAGTTCATTTGTCAGGAGTCAAGTTTCTTTTTTTAATAAATATTTTTTTTTAAAAAAAGGGATGGGGAAGGCTCAGAGTTTCTTTTTTTAATAAATATATTTTTATTGATTTCAGAGAGGGAGAGAGAGATGGAAACATCAATGATGAGAGAGAAGCATTGATCGGCTGCCTCCCGCACACCTCACATTGGTGAGCAAGTCTGCAGCCGGGCATGTGCCCTGTCCGGGAATCCAACCACGACCCCCGGGTTCATAGGTCAACCCTCGACCCCTGCGCCACGTCTTTCACTTTGGCCACCAGCACTGGACGGGGCGCCTGGCTGGGGCTGGTTTGCTGATGGGTCGACCTCAGGGTGCAGGATGCTCTCTTGACTTGGCTCTGGGCCGTGGCATGACGCTCAGCCGCACACGGAGGGCAGGGCGCCGCTGGGCCTTCACGCCGGCCGTTTCCACGTCCAGGGCTGTCACTGGCATGGCTGTCACTGATGTGGCGGCCGTGTCAGTGACAGGGAGGCGCTGAGGGCTCCCGAGGGCTCCGTGCACAGAGCGCCTGGGATGGCGGCGGCGGGCTCCGGAATGGTTCCTCAGCAGCACTGTCCTCACCTGTCCTATGGGCCCTGAGGTTCCCTGGCAGTGCGCACCTGCCCTGGCTTTCTGCCCCGACATGAGCCCTCAGCGAGGGACACAGCCATCAGGCCCTGCCCCAGACGCTGGGCCCATGCTGACCCATTCCATTCTCGAAGCTCTGCGACTGCAGGCCATGCCATCCCATTAGAGTAGGGGTGTTGAACTCAATCAGAGAAGGGGCCAAAATCTAAAATCCAGCCTAAATCTCGGGCCGAATGGTTTACTGAACAGTCATAAACTGTCATTGTGATGGAAACGCAGCGGAGTGCAGTGATGACAGCGCGGTGCGGGCCACATTGCAAGGCCTGGTGGGACGGATTTGGCCCGCGGGCCTTGTGTTGACACATGTGCATTAGAGAGCAGAAGGGGAAACTGAGGCATGGGAGTTCCGTCCGTGGCATTGGGTGTGTCCTCCCCTCTTTCCTGGGCCTGCCGGGGGACATCTGTTTCAGAGAGGGAAGTGTTGAGTTCCAGTGTGGCCTGTGGCCCAAAGAATACAAGAAACAGCCCTGGCCGGTGTGGCTCAGTGGATAGTGTGGTCCCCAGTTTGGTTCCGGTCAAGGGCAGGACCTCAGTCGCAGGCTCCTCCCTGGCAGGAACCTGGTGGGCTGCATGTAGGAGTCACCCCATCGGTGTGTTTCTCTCTGTTCTCCCTCTCTCTCCGTCTCCCTAAAAATCAATGGGAAATGCCCTCCGGTGAGGATTAACAACAGAAAGAACAGAGAAACGATGGTGACTGCAGGCCCCTGCCGAGGTCCCAGGGTCAGCCCTGCGCTCTGACCTGGACGGACCCCCGAGGAGCTCACCCTAAAATCCATACTGAAGGGGGGGGGAGGGGGAGAGTTGTAACTAATGTCCTTGTTGGCGGAGCAGGAGGCGGACTGAGCCCCGACTGAGAGCCGGATGGGGTGCACGGCGCCGCCCGCCTCCTCCCGGGGAGCTGGGGGTGCGGGAGCGCTCCGGGGGCCCGGCCACTCCGTCCTCCGCTCTCCCCGCAGGTGAGCGCCTGGCCGCCCTGCTGGTCACCCGCGCGGCCGCCGCCTTCTTCCTGGACCGCGGCGCCCCGGACCTGCTCCGCGACCTGCACGCCGCCTTCGCGGAGAGCCCGGCGGCCGCGCGCCGGCAGCTGGCGGCCGTGCTGGCGGCGGCGGACCGGGCGCGGGTGCTGGCGCTGCTGCGCGAGGCGGCGGACGCGGGGCTCGCGCTCTTCCGGGAGGCCGTGCGCGGCCGCGCCGAGCTCCGCCGCGACTCGGGCCGCGAGCTGCTGGCCCCGGCGGCGCGCGCGCTGCGGGTGCTGGTGCGGGTGGCGCCGCCCGGGGCGCGCCCGGCGCTGGGGGCGCGGCTGGCCGAGTGCCTGCTGCTGGCGGGGGACGCGGGCGGCGCGCGGGCGCTGTGCGAGCGGCTGCTCCGGCCCCGGCGCCGGGGCGGGGGCTCCGGGGACCGGGCGGGGGGCCGGGCGGGGGGCCGAGCGGGCAGCGGCTCCGGGGCCGGAGCGGGGGACGGTGCCGGGGACCGCGGCGGGGACCGTTGGGGGGACGGCGCCGGGGACCGCGCGCCGCTGCTGGCGCTCCGCGGCTTCTGCGCGCTGCACGCGGGGGACGCGGCGGGCGCGCGGGCGGACTTCCAGGCGGCGGTGGCGGGGGGCCCCCCGCACCCCCGCGGCTGCGTGCGCGCCCTGTGCGGCCGCGGGCTGCTGCGCGTGCTGGCGGGCAGCGCCTACCTGGGCGCCCGGGACTACGTCACCGCCTGCCGGCTGTGCCCCGAGGAGGCCCTGCTGGTGGCCAAGGCCTTCGTGCCCTGGAACCTGCGGGGGCTGCTGCGGACCGTGCTGCGCGAGGAGGCCCGCGGCATGCTCCGGCGGAGGCCCGGCCCGGCGCCCGCGGCGCCCCCTGCGCCCACAGGACCCACGGCACCCACCGCACCCACGGGCGCGCGGGGCCGCCGGAGCCAGGCCGCGGAGACCGAGGGCGCCGATGAGCAGGAGGAGCCGGACAGGTAACCACCGGCCCCGCGCGCTCCCGGGCGCCGCATCCTGGGCTTCTGCACATCCGCTTCCAGAGGCGGAGCGGAGGCGGGATAGTTCTTTAACTCACTGGTGGCAGGTATAGAGATAGAGATAGAGATAGAGATAGAGATAGAGATAGAGAGAGAGGTAGAGGTAGAGGTAGAGGTAGAGATAGAGATAGAGATAGAGATATATAGATAGAGATAGAGATAGAGATAGAGATAGAGATAGAGATAGATAGAGACTTGTTTGATGTCAGAATAAGGGAGGGAGAGAGAGAGAAACATCAGCGATGAGAGAGAACCATGGATCGCTGCCTCCTGCACGTGCCCCATTGGAAATGGAGCCCACAGCCCGAGCCTGTACCCTGACCAGGACTCCAACGCTGACCTCCTGGTTTGTAGGGCGGCGCTCACCCACTGAGCCACCCGGCCAGGCGCCCAGGCCTATTCTATAAGCAAATGAGAAACTCAGACACCGACGTGGCAAGACAAGCCGCACCCCTCGCCCCCGCCCCCGCATCCCTTCCAGCTGGCGCTCTGTGCGTGAAACACGCCACAGGCGTGAGGCGGGCAGGCGGGCAGCTCACCCCACTCTGTGCTCAGGGAGCATGAGCACGTCCTTGGTCACGAGCTGCGTGTCCCGCAGCCCAGGAGCCCCCTGGGACCCCGCCACCTGGGACCCCGCCACCCGGGACCCCGCCACCCGGGACCCGCCACCCTGGGACCCGCCCCCGGCCCTAGCTCTTGCTCTTGGCTACAAGGCCTGGTGCCTCCACCCGGCTCTGCCCCTCACACGGAGGCCAAGGGGCTCCTGGTCGGGGAGTGTGCCCCCGTGCGGCCCTGCCTTCAGGAGCTGCCCACCTGCCCATCGGGGCCCACCCCCACCCTGAGGGGCTCTTGCAAACTGCCAGCCCAGTGAGGGCCCCGTGGCTGTCTGAGCGGAAAGCACTGAGCTGGGGCCTTCTGGGGGCGTGTGTGATGCCACCGCCCTCTCTCCCTCTCCCCCTGGCGGCTTGGTTTGGTGGCTGTGATTTGCTGGTGAGGGGGCACCTGTATATTTGTGGGTGGGGTGGGGCCCTTTATATTTGTTCTCTAGGGATTTTCACACCCCAGGGTGCCCACCCCTTCTCCCAGTGGGAGTTCACATCCCTCCTGGGGCCCCAGGAGCTCAGTAAGGCCGGCATTGTCGTCCTGGGTTCGCAGAGAAGAAAAGCAGGGCAGGACATGCCTGTGGCCAGGCTGCCTGGGTGTGTGGGAGGCGGGGGGGAGTATGGAGGCGCCTGCGCCCCCCCAACATCTCTCCCTGCAGAGACGCCGAGGGCGTGTACCAGCTGGCCACGCTGCTGATGGAGCTGGACGCGGAGGACGAGGTGTCCCGCCTGCTGGCGGCCGACGCCCTGTACCGCCTGGGCCGCCTGGACGACGCCCACAAGGCGCTGCTGGTGGCGCTGTCCCGCCGGCCCCAGGCGGCGCCCGTGCTGGCGCGGCTGGCGCTGCTGCAGCTGCGGAGGGGCTTCTGCTACGACGCCAACCAGGTGGGGGCCCTCGCTCCGCCCCGCAGCCCAGCTGGTCCCAGCCTCCTGCTGCCACCTCTCAGCCGGGCCGGGAGCAGGCAACGCTCTGGCCCTCAGGCCCCTCCTCCGTGCCCTGGCCTTGCTGGCTGCCAAGGCCCCTTCCCCCCGCCCCAGGCCTCCGGGACGCAGTAGGCACCCCATATACTGTATAAAAGGGCAAAGTTAAGTTTAGGCTGAGCACACCTCACACCTCCCAGTAAACTCAGTGGACGTGACCCTGCCCGGAAGGGGGGTCGGTGAAGGGGCCCCAGGCCCTCAGACCCCGCTGGCCTCCCCCCGAGACTGGCCGGCTCCCGGGAAGAGCAGACGTCACCCCCGGGGGCTCCTGTTGGGCGTGGCCAGGAGGCTGAGGCGTCTTAGGGGAGGGTGCTGGACTTCGGGCGCTGTCAGCCAAGCTGCCTGTCCAGGTGTCTGTGCCCTGCGCTGGGCATATGGAGGGAGGGAGGGAGAGGAGAGTGCCCAGCAGCCAGCAGGGGCACATGGGGTCTCTGTGGGGTGGGGCTGCCTGAGCTCCAAGGTCATGTCCACCTGGGGCTCAGGCTCCACCCAGACCCTCTGCCTCCCACATCACCGAGGAGGAGGAGTCACTCAAGGACCCTGAGACACCCCAACTCCCGCCACCCAGCGGACAGGAGTAGCCCAAAGGGGCCTCACCTCCCGCACCCAGCCTTCCCCAGGGACTCACAGTCACTGCCCCAATGTGAGCCACGCCCCAGGGCCACGCCCACCACAAGCCGTGCCCCTTTGCTGGCCACGCCCACCCGGGCCACGCCCACACATCTTTCATCGTGAGCTTTGCCCATTGGCCACACCCCCATAGGCCACGCCCATACACCCCACCATGAGCTATGCCCATTGGCTGTCTCCTCGGGCCACGCCCCCATTTGCCATGCCCCCATTGGCCACGCCCTGTGGTCACGCCCCTGCGAGCCCGCCCAGCCCGCAGCCTGGGCCGGAACCGGGTAAGGGGGCACAGGGGTCACTGGGCGCCCTCTGGCCCCGCAGCTGGTGAAGAAGGTGGTGCAGTCTGGGGACACGGCCTGCCTGCAGCCCACGCTGGACGTGTTCCGCCCGGAGGACCGGCAGCTGCTGCAGAGCCACTGCCACGCGCGGGCACTGGCCCTCCTGCGGACGCAGCCGGGCGACGCGGAGGGCGAGGCCCGCACCAGGGAGGCCGTCGCCTACCTCTCTCTGGCCATCTTCGCTGCAGGTAGGAGCCGCCTGCCCGCCCTCGGGGGCCTCTGTGCCAGGTACATGGGAGCCTCTGCCCAGCTGGGTGTGGGGGGCCCGGGTTCCAGGGACGCCCTTGGTTGGGAGTTCCAGGGTGTGTCGCCCTGGGAACATCCATGGGGCAGACAGGGAGAGGTCCCGGGCCTCGGGTGAGTGCTGAAGGCCCGGAGAGGGCAGGCCGGCCTGGACGGAGCTGGGCCTCCCACACCCTGGCCCTGAGGGTAGGGGGACCACCTGAGGGGGTCTCTTCTACCGACTATGGGAGGTGAGTCCCCGCTCCCCTCAGCCCCTCCTGGAAATAGTGGGCTCTCTCTGTACCCGCTCAGTCAGCCAGCCCTGGGTGCTGGGCCGGGGCGGGTCAGAGTCGCAGGGGACAGGGAAGGGACATTCCCAGGGACCACGGTGAGCTGGGGGCTCGAGACTCCCCGTGGACTTGGACTCGGGTGCCAGTGCCTGTCTGGCTGCGCCCAGGGGCACCTCCTCCCCGCCCGGGATGGTGGAGACGCCCCGTGGCAGGACGTGGGGTGAGGGAGCGAATTCCCGCACAGCCGGGGCGGGCCGGGCGCAGAGCTGGGAGCAGGACACGGCCCCATCATCCTGCGGGGCCCGGAGCGCGCCTCCTGTGTCCACCGCTGGGCACACGCGTGGTGACCGCCTTTTTGGGGAGAGGCCACCCAGAGGCCGTGACTGCCCCCCCCCCCGGCACCTACGTGTTTGTGCCCATGACATGCCCGCCCGGAGAACCTGCCTCCTCCTGGCCCCTCCGGTGCCCCCTTCTCTCAGGAGCCCCTCTGCTGTCCCAGGCGCCACCCTCCTGTTTGGGCTCCCACGCCTGCAGCCAGACTGCCCTGCAGCTCCCGAGGGCCCCACAGCCGCTGCCCCCTCTGGTCTTCCCCGGTAAAGGCTGGTGAGGACAGAGGCGCGGTGCCCGCCCGTCACCCACCGTGGCCAGCGAGAGGCCCTGACGCCGCCCCTCCCTCCAGGGGGCCAGGCCGGCGAGTCGCTGCTCACCCGCGCCCGCTGCTACGCGCTCCTGGGCCAGAGGAAGACCGCCCTGTTCGACTTCAACGCCGTGCTGCGGGCGGAGCCGGGGCACGTGCGGGCGCTGTGCGGGCGGGCGCTCCTGCACCTGGCCCTGGGCCAGCAGCAGGTGCAGCTCCCACGCCCCCCGGCCTGGGGAGCACGCGCAGTGGGGAGCGCCCTGGGGGAGGCCCTGCCTTCCCCTCCACCCCCAGAGAAGAGTGGGAATAGGGTCAGGCCATCCCGGCGGTGAGAGGCCCGTCGTGACCCACTGCCCGGGCGCCGAGCCTGGTGGACGCGTCCCAGTGTCCAGTCTCCCTGGGTCAGCATGGACAGGACACGTGCACTAACCTGCAGGGCCACCAGGGGCCCCCCAGCTTAAATACTGAGACCTCAGCTGCATCTTGCTGTCTACGGGGGAGGTGGGGGGCAGGGGGCAGGGGGAGGTGTTTCTCAGAGAAAATGTGCCCAGAGGCAGCCACAGCGGAGCGGACAGGACAGGGTGCCTCTCAGCCAGGCAGAGGCTGCGCTTGGCCGGCTGCCGAGGCTTCACGGAGGTGGGGCGCGGGGAGAGCTGCCAGGTTCTCTGATGAGCCTGGGGCTGGAGTCCTCGGAAGCGAGGAACCCGATCCAAGCTCCCGGGACACGAGGCCTCCTCCACCGCGCTTGCTTCTGTCCGGGGTGCCTGTGTCTGTCCTCCCCTTGTCTGGGTGCCAGGCACACCCGAGGGTGGGCAGGCCAGCCCCTGCCCGCTCAGCCTGTTTCCCCCAGGGCCTGGGCACCCGGTTCCCTCCCCTCCGGGCGCCCTGGAGCTGGGAAGCAGCTCTGGGTGTCCCTCTCGGGACTGGACAAGCGTGTGTTTCCCAGGGCCGAGCCCGTTAACCAGAGCGGGAATGGGCCAGGCGGGCCTGCTGCGGGGGGAGGGGGTGCTCCCACAGGCCCTGAGCTCCTCCTTCGGGCCGGCTCCCCCCAGGCTGAGCAGGCAGGGGCCGGCCTGCCCACCCTCGGGCGTGCCTGGCACCCAGACACGTGACACGCTGACGACCCCCGTCTGCCCTGCAGGAGGCCGTGGCCGACGTGCTCTCCGCGCTGAGGCTGGACCCAAGCTCGGCGGTTGCTGAGCTCCGCTCCCTGAAGCCGGAGGCCCAGGCCCTCATCGCGCAGGGCCTGTCCTCCCACTGCCGGGGCCTCCTGAGCCGGCGGCCGGGCCCTGGGGCCCCACTCAGCGACAGTGACGTCCAGGGCCTCCTGGCCGCGGGGGAGGCGCTGGTGGAGATGGAGGCGGGGCAGGCGCGAGGGCACCTCCTCCTGGCGGACGTGCTCGTGGCCCTGGGTACGTGACGGCCAGGCCCGGGGACGTGGTCTCCCTCCCTCTGTCCCCACTCCTCTCTCCCCTGGAGCCCCTTCTGTAAACCGGGAGAAAGCCTGACCCGGCCGCCTCCGAGGTCCCTCCAGCCGAATCCCAGGCCCCTGGCCCCGGTCCCCTCCTCGCCGTGCCTGTGGGAGGAGAAACAGGCTCTGGCCTCCGTCACTCGGGCGTGAATTTCACAGAGGTTGGCCCAGTGCCCCGGGCCCAGGGCCCATCCAGGTGGGGACTTTCGCCCACACGTGCCCAAATGGTGCCTTTTCCTAAAAAAACCTCATCTCGTTTCAGCACGAACTTGAAGGGGGGGAGTCCTCAGTGCAGCCTGCATGTCTCCCATCGGTCATCCCCGCCTCCAGTCCTGCTCCGGCCCCATGCTGGCTGCTGGTGCGGGAGTGGGGGGTGCAGACCCATGTGGGGGCTCAGAGCCCTGCTCCTCAGCCTGAGAGACACGGGCTGGGGCGCTGGTAGCAGGCACGTCCACGTGACCAGCATGGCATCACCACGTCCCTCTGCGCCTGGCTGTTCCCGCCGGGCTGCGCTCTCCCAGGAGCCCACTGTTCCCTGAGCCAGCACAGAGCAGGAAAGGCCTTGGGGCTCCCCGGTGCAGTGGCCAGCGAGGCCCCCCGCCCCGTCCCCCTGCCCCCGGCACAACCCTGACTGCCCTTCGGAACCCCCGACAGGCAGCTATGAGGAGGCGGGCGCCCGCCTCCAGGACGCCCTGCGCCCCTCCCCACCCTCGGAGGCGGCCCGGGCCCGGCTTGGCCTGCTCAGCCTCAAGAAGGGAGACATGCCGGCCGCTGCCCGGGACCTGCAGTGCCTGGCGGAGACGGACGCCGGGGACCTGGGCTTCCTGCTGAGTCTCCTGGAGGCCTCAGAGCGGCAGGGCCTGGCCCAGGTGCGTGCAGCCCCCCAGGGAGCCCCGTCTGCCCTCCCAGCGCCATGGGCGCTCAGGGCGGCACTGCACTCTGCCTGCTGGTCTCAGGGGGGTGGGTGGGGAGGGGAGCCAGAGACCCCAGGTGTCACCACCTCAAGCTACGCTCTCACTACACCCGGACCTCCAGCTGCTTGGCACAGGCACACAAGCCCCAGGTGACGTGGGTGGGGAGAGAGAGGGGTGCCCTCAGCCTGGCGAGCGCGGCAGGAGCACCTGGCTCCTGCAGGACGCCGTCCCAACGCCAGGTCAGGCGGAGAGACTTCCTGGAAGAGCACAGGTGGGGAGGCGCCCGCAGGCAGCGGGGTCACTGCCTCTCCGGCTGGCTGGTTTTTCACTCCGCTTTATCCCACAAGAACGTCTGAGCGCCTTCCTTCCGCCAGGTGCTGGGGGTAGCCAACAGCCCCGCCCTCTGGCCCTTGAGCTTCAGGGGAGACACGGGGCTCACTTCAGAGGGTGTCAGTGCGGCAGCCCCTGGAGCAGGGCGTGGGCTGGCGAGGTCGCACTGGGGAGGTGAAAGCAGGGTGGGCAGAGAGGTCAAGGCACCGGCCTGGCTGAAGGACCGAGCTCAGAAGACTCAACCAATGGCCCCAAACGGCAGGGCTGGCTTGTGGGGGAGGTTTCTAGCCTTAGCTGTAATGGAAGCCAGCCGCACAGGAGCAAGTGGGTCTGGGCAGGGGGCAGTGCGATCGGTGCGGGTCTGACCACCTCCCCCTGCCAGGGGGGAGGCCACAGGGGAGGGGTGGAGGCTGCCCTGCCCCCCTGCGTGGGGACCCTGCCTGGGGGGAGGAGGGGGCAGGACGGGGGAGGGAGCACTAGGGGACAGAGTGCTTTGAGCCCCGTGTGCCTGGGCGCCCAGGCCTAGCACTCAGGTCCGCCGGAGAGCAGCTCGGTGAGCAGCACTGGCTTTATTAATAGAGGAGCTGGCTGCGCGCAGAGCGATGGGTAAGGCGGCGGGGACGCTGCCCCGAGGGCGGGGGAACCAAGGGGTGAGACAGTGTCTCTGGGACCAAGAGCGCAGGAGGGGCCGCGGGGCCGGGGCTGGTGTCCGCCGCGAGAAGAATCCGCTGCAAGCGCGCGCCAGATGCCCAGGGGCAAGTGCCTGGGTAGGAAAAGAACCGGAAGTGCTCGCGCCCCGCTTCCCGAGGCACTGCGCCTGCGCGGCCGGCGGCCCCGCCTCTGAGCACGGCCGGCGGCCCCGCCTCTGAGCACGGCCCGCGCGGAACCTATCCGAGGGCGCCGCGCCTGCGCAGCTGCGGGCTGGTGTTAACGGACACTGGACCGGTGCCCGCAGGCTGCGCCCCCCCCCCCCGGGCCGTGGCGCCGAGGGCATTGGTAGACCGGCTGCCAGGAGGGAGGGAGGGGCGGGCAGGCTGGCTCCGATGGCCCCGGGCTCTGCAGGGAAGAGCCTGTGAGGGAGCGGGTTGTCGGGGCCGGAGGAGGTGTGGAGGGGCTGCAGCGACAGGGACGCCAGCCCTGGTCCCGCTGGCAATCCGGCTGAAGTGCGGGAGGGCGGAGCGGCCGCAGCATGGCCCCCTGTGACCGGTGCAGCCCTCACCTGTGACCGTGTCCTGCCCCCACCAGTGACCTCGGCTTGACCCCTCCTGTGACCTCGTGCTGTCCCCTCCTGTGCCTGGCCCTGCAGGGCCCTAGTGAGAAGTCCACTGGAGCTTCCTGAGCTTGGGCTCCTGAGGGGGCGCAAGGACCAGGCTGGGCAGAGATGGTGTTTGGCACTGCCCCAGGGCCCTGCAGGGTGGGCAGGGAGAGGCCCAGCAGGGGGCCTGGGGAGGAGCAGGGTTAGGGAGGGAGGAGGCCGCCCAGCGAGAAGCAGCAAGGCTGTGAGAAGGGAGAGCGGGAGGAGGAGAGGGGGGACAGCAGGGAGGTGCCTGCTCCAGACCCGGAGGCCAGGTGTGCAGGGCGGGAGGGGCCGAGGCATCCAGCTGACCGCACTCCCTCTGCCCCAATGCAGGCTGCAGCCCAGGAAGCCAGCGCCCTCCTGACCGCGGGGCAGCCTGGGCAGGCGCTGGGCTACTGCTCGCTGGCCGTGCTGGCCGGCGGGGGCAGGGCCGGCCACCTGCGCCTGCGGGCTGCCGCCCTGGCGGAGCTGCAGGAGTGCAGCCGGGCCCTGGCCGACCTGGACCTGGTGCTCCGCGAGGGCGCGGGGGACGGTGGCCCGCTGCAAGCGGAGGACCTGTGCTCCCGGGGCCGCCTGCTCCTGAGCCTGGGGGACGAGGCGGGGGCCGCCGGGGCCTTCGCCCAGGCCCTGGCGCTGGCACCCGCCCCGGCCCAGAGCAGCCTGTGGGCGCGGCCCGGCCGGGCCCCTGCCGCCCGGGTGCTGCTGGGCCTCGGGCAGCGCTGCCTGGAGGAGCGGCGGTACGAGGAGGCCTGGGCGGCGGCCGAGGGCGGGCTCCTGCTGGACCCCGAGCACTGCGGCCTGCGGAGGCTGAAGGCGCGGCTCCGGAGGGAGGCGGCCTCGGGCTGCCGGCTCCACTGACCCCCTGGGCCGGCCGGTCCCGGGGCCGCCCTGCCATTTCCCCAAACCGGGCGGTGCGGACCCCACCCTCCCGGCTCGGGGTGGGTGTTCGGCAGAGAGAAGGGCGTTACGCCGGCCTGAAGCCCAGAGCCCTTCCTCCAAGGGCCTGGCGTGGGGCCAGCAGGCTGGACACGAAGGCCAGCCCTGGGGCTGCGGAGCCGGTGCAGCCCCTCCCGCCGCACGAGGCGGCCTTTGACCCTGGCCTCACCGAAGACAACGCTCCCCAGCCGGGGCCTGCCGCTGAGGCCCATCCTCCAAGTCACTCTCTGGGCAGCCCCGTGCCCACACCCACCACCGGCCACGGCGACGATGCGGCCCCTCCCCGCTGCCCAGCAGAGAGCCGCCCGGAGGGGCAGAGAGGCTGGCTGCTTGCCGACCGGCCCGGCTGGGGCTGTAACGGAGCGTCCTCTGTTTGCTGGGAAAACCCTCTCTCCCGGGGAGTCGAACCCGGCCCCCCAGGCCCTGGGAAGTCGCCTCCTCCCTTTGGGAAGCTGGGGCAGAAGGTGCACCAGCAGCACGGGGTCACAGTCAAGTTCAGTGAGTGGGAGCCACACCCCGGCTCAGGGCGGGATCCTCGACAGAAGACAGCCGGGACCTGCAGAGGGTCTCCGCCTCCCAGCTCCCCAGGCAGCGTCTGTCCTTCCGTCTGTCCGTCAGCCCTGCTCCCAGCCCTGCCCTCCCACACCCAGTGCAGGTGGACGTGAGGCTGACCATCCCCCCAGCGCCATGCTGGGTGCCACAGCCGGCACTGCACAGGGCCTCCCGGGCAGTATGCCAGGGGGTCGGCCGCGGCCGGTGAGACGCTGGCGCAGGCGAGGAGGCGCTCTGCACCGGTGCCCGCTCTGCCAGGACCGCCGGCCTCGGGACACTGAGGCGGAAGCCTCCTCCCGCCCGCGTGGGAAACGGCTGCTGGTTTCAGGAGGAAGTGAAACCTGGAATTGCACAATTTTGGAAAAACCAGAAACGGGAAGTGCGACGCCTGGGGGAGAGACGCTTGGAGACCCAGAGCTGAGCCCCGCAGACGGCAGCACAGGGAAGCGAGGGAACAGATCAGCTGCCACGTTGGGAAACCAGAAGCAGGAAAGCTTTTGGTAGAAAAATAGAAGAGGCTAAACCGAAACTGCAGTTATTCAAAAACAGTAAAACGGATGAGCCACCTGCAAACAGGAGGAGAAGCACAGGCCCGGTCCTCCCGGCTGGTGACAGGGCCTGTGCTGCCTGCAGGGGCGCCCCAGGCACGTCCCCGTTTGCAGCCGCCTTGGGGTGGACCAGCCCTCGTGGTTGTGATGCCAGGATGCAACTCGGCAGAAGCCGTTGGGGTGGATGGGAGGGGGAGGCCTTGAGGAAAATTCCTTCCTTGGGGTCCACAGGGCAGCTCGGGGCTGGCTCTGCCTTCGCTGGGCCAAGGGGATGCCAGTTTCCTGGGGTCCCTCATTGGCTAGTTAACGAGGGAATGAGGTCTCGGGGACTGGAGACAGGTCGCCTGCAAGGTCAGCGATCGGGGCGCCCAGAGTTCCCCGGCTGCCCAGGCCGCGTGCGGGTCGGAGCCCGCAGCTGAGGGGGCAGCGCCAGCCCTGGGCGCAGCACGAGGGCGCTCGGGGCCGCGGCTGCCCTCTGATCGCTGTGCCTTCAGCTCGGTGTCCCGGGACCCGGACGTCTCCGGGAAGAGCTCAGCCGCACGGCGCCATCCTGGGGCTGCCGACGGCTGGCCTCGTGCGCCCACCACGGACAGCCCCCTCCCCACGGACACACACACACCCCCATCCTCGCTCGGGCCCGTGACAGGGACCGCTCCTGGCGTCAGTGAGTGTCCTCAGCGGGACCACCAGGGCTCAGAAGCCAAACAGCGAGAATCAGAAAGAACTGCTGCCTGGGCGGGCTCAGGTGAGCCAGGAGGCCGCAGCCTGATTCTGGGTCAGGGCACACGCCCGGGTCCTGGGCTCCATCCCCAGTGGGGGCTGCAGGAGGCAGCAGGACCATGTCTCATCCATGTTTCTGTCTCTTCCTCTCCCTTCTCTGAAGTCAATAAAAACATCTTTTAAATAAAAAAGGAACACGCCATTGTGTTAAAAAGAGAAAGAAGAACTGCGCGTGAGCACCGGCTGGTGGCCAGTTGGTTGGGGTGCTGTGCCGATGCGGGGGCACAGCCACGAGCAACCGAGGAGGCCTCCGCGCCGATCAGCAGTGCTGCCCCTTCCCCTCGCGTCCCTTCCATGTAATGAAGAGCTAACATGCAAGTGGTCGTCACGCCGCAGTAACTCCCTAACAGCTCACACACTCAGCACTGGGGAGAGAGGAACGGGGACCAGCCAGGCTGGCGGGAAAGGGACAAGTCACCCGCCCCGCAGTGCTGGGCGCCAGGGCCTCTGGCCCAGTGAAGCCGCCCGCCCGTGTTCCCCTGCAGCTGCGGCCGGCCCAGGGCCTGGCTGCCTGAGGCCGGCCAGAGGGAGGGAAGCCCTGGGCCCCGGGTGTCAGGCGAGGCAGGCGGTTAGGGGTGATCGGGCCAGCAGGGAAGCAGGGGGACCAGGCCAGTAGGGGAGTAGTTAGGGGCGAACAGCCAGGCAGGCAGAGGGATTAGGGGCGATCAGCCAGGCAGGTGAGCAGTTAGGAGCCAGCAGTCCTGGATTATGAGAGGTAGTCAGACATCCCCCGAGGGTCCTGGATTGGAGAGGGTGCAGGCCGGGCTGAGGGAAGCACAAATTTCCTGCGCCGGCCTCGAGTCAGGCAATGAAAAGCATGGCTCCTGAGTTGGCGTTAACTATGGAAGCGGGTTCAGGTTTTAACTGGGATTCCGGAGGCAGTGACTGTAGGGTTCAGATGTGACGCCCCAGCCTCTTCGTCACCCCGACCCTCCTGCCTGCACCCCAGCTCCCTCACAGGCGTCTCCTGAGCACCCCTCTCCTCGCTGTCCCCTGACTGACACCTTCAAGGGAGGGACTCGTGTCCGGCTGTTGGGGCCGAGTTGGTGCTGGATGACGGGAACCTGGGTGGATCCTCAGCGTTCGGACAGGTTCAAGCCTGGGACTGACGGGAGGACAGGTCCTCTTGTGGCAAAGCCACGTGCAGGTCCCAGCGTGGCGGGCAGCGCCCTCCCAGCACAATGACAGCCAAAGGCTGAGGTTGTAGTGTGACCTGATGGACGGAACCTGTGGGCCCAGGTGCTGAGGATGTGGGTTGTGGAGGCGCAGCAGTTGCTGCCAAACAAAGCTCGACAGAGTTCCGGTGCGTGGAACTGAGTGGGTTCAAAACCCGCCAGAACCTTGTAAACATCCTGACCAACCTTCCCTTGCCTCGTGGCAGAAAATCTGACTGTAAAATAGACTCGGCCTGCCGGCTGTGACTCTGTCTCTCCACCCAGACCCAGCTTTATTCTCTTGTATGTCTTCTTTAGTCCTCCCCTCCCCGGCCCCTGCTCAGGTTCACCAGACCCAGACCCACCTCCATCAGGCCTGAAGCAGCGAGGGCTGGGCTCCGACCAGGCCTGCCCAGAGCCCTGGCCCCCACCAAGCCTGCCCCCGCCCCAGCCAGGCCCTCTGGCCCCTGGGAATTGGGGTCTGAGCCTCAGGTCCCCCGGACAGCCCTGCCCACTCCCATCACCATCAGGGCCCCCACCTTCCCTGGCACTGGGCCTCCGGGGGAAAGGAGCCCAGCAGGGCCTGGCACACCCACTACCAGCCCGTGCCCTGGCCCTGACCTCGCACCCTGGGCCAGGTGGCAGCGAGGAAGGGTCTGCCTTCTCTGCCAGCAGCCCCGCAGCCCTTTGGACTGGGCGGTCAGGAGCAAAGGAGAGGGGCTCGGGCGTCAGGGCCACAAGCCTGGAAGGGGCACCCACTGGGCAGGGAGCCTGGGTCTGGGAACTGGCCCCTCCCCCACACCAAGCCAGACGGAACCCGCTGAGGGAGCGGAGGGCCAGCGCCTTGGGGACCCCGCATCACAAACGAGGCTCGGAAGCTCGGAGCCACTGGCCTCGCGGAGCCCCTGGGAGCCCCTCCGCCCGCCCTGCCCCCCAAAACTCCAGGCCACCTGCCCAGCCTCCGACCTGCCCGCGGGGGACGGCCGCGCTGAGTGACCTGAAGGTGAGTGAGAGGAGGGCCTGCCGGCGGCCAGGCCAGCTGTCCTGGGCAGCACCCCGAGAACCCCTCCGGGCGCCCCGCCCAGCCCTGGGGCTCCCGGGCACAGTTCCCTTCTGTAAGGGCCTGTGCCCCTGGAGCAGAAGCCCGGTCCCGCCCCGCCCGCCCTTGCTGGGAGGGCTCCGGGGCAGATGGCGGGGATGCGCACCGGAGGAAGGGACTGGTCCAGGTTGGCCTCAGACAGAGCACAGACGCCGAGCCACCCACCCGTCCCTTCCTTCCTTCCTCACGTGCACTCACTCCCTGTGCTGGCTGGTGCCTGGGGGGCGGGGGGCGTCAGGCTAAGGGCTGGGGACCAGGGAAACGGCCCTGGCCTGTTCCCAACGGGAGGGAAACAGACAGAAATCATGGCTGTTTGTCTGGAGGTAAAACAGAAAAGGTCTGGGTGCAGGGGGTGCTGGGCTGACTGTGTGAATGCAGACCCCACGGAGGCCCCGCTGGGGGTGACTGAGCAGGGCCTGGGGCGGGGTGTAGGGCGGCAGGCGGGAATCTGGGGCACTGGGCGGCCTCAGCCTCGGGGCATGCAGGCGGGGGCACCACCTCAGGGGTGAGCTTGTCCTGAGCGAGGGCCGCACAGCTGCTCCCATGTGCCGAGCAGCTTCCAGCAGTGCTGCAGGTGCAGCAGCGGAGGGGCACACACACCCAGCACGTGTGCACGCCACGCATGCTCACATGCCCACACTCACATGTGCACGACTCACATGCACACACACATGCTCACACACAGTCACATGTGAGTGACTTGCACGCATATGCACACACAGGTGCACACTTCCCGCATGTGCCTGACACACCTGCATGTGCATACACATGCACCCTCACAGCACACAGTACACGGAGCCCTGTGCATGCTCTCGTGCAGGTACACAGGTTTACATGCACATTCACACATGTACCCATGTACAGGGAACCCCTGTGTATACTCACTCATACACATGTGCATGACTCGCATGCAGACACACACGTGCGTGTGCTTACATGGACACGGAGCCCATGCACGCTCACATGTGTATGTGGGTGTGGGTGTGAGTGCGCCCCTGGCAGCCTCCACTGCAGCCCCCGCCCCCCAACCCGCACCGGGCCCCGCCTCCTGGGCCTGCATGGCCCCCGCAACCTCCCCCTGTGGAGCTGGTCCCCGACCTCCCCCTGCCCCTGGGTTCTGAGGCCCCTCCCCAAGCAGAGGCTGGCCCTCTGCTGCCCGGGTGCTCAGAGCCCCCACCCAGGCGCGTGGACTCGGTAATGGAGAGAGGGGCCGAGCACCCCGAAAAGCCCGGCCCCGGCTCCCC